TTTTTTTATCCAATTTGTTTCTTGAAATTAAGTAATTTTGATTGAAGAATCTTTTAATACAAACCTTAAAATGAACTATCCAATGCACTGTAACATGAAATAATGTCTGTTGCTGTAGGTCCACATTGTAAATATACAATCTTTCCATAGTTACTGTTACTGTACCAAATTCAGGAGCTATTCATGTGATTCATTCATACTGAAATCAGGAATATAAATGAAATTTATATTTAGCTATGAAATGTTTTTGTAGTACTATAAGAATGACTTTCAAATAGTTAATAACATTCAAATATTTTCGTAAGATTTTATTTATTTCATACTTTATTGCTTTCAAGCTTTTTTGATCAGAAACTTTGTTGAAAAATCTTGTATGATTCCATAACATACTTTAAAAATTGATCCCATGATATTTGCTTAAATAAAACAACATAGTGGTTCACAAATTTGTTCTTTACTGGGAAAATAAAATTGGTGCCTGAACGTCTTTCTTGAAGGCCACTTGAATTTTATCATTTCAGTGAAAAGACTCAATGATTTACTTTTTACTCCAGTAAAATGTTAGTGTAGAATTATACAGATCTGCATTAGTGTCATTGACATACATATTGAAAATTAGTTGTAGTGTCCATTTCATAATGCAAGTTGTTAAATGTTGTAACATGTTTAACTATTTTAAATTTACCATCTTATGGTCATAAAGAATTTGTATCAGTTCTTTGGCAAATTAAAATATTGTATGAACTGTTTCAAAGCTAAAAAATCATTATGGTCTTTCATGATGTTCAAAGTAAATTAATATTTTCTGTAGAAAACAACAAAAACTCTTATTAACAAACGGCCATTTATTATTATTTGTATATTTTAACTACTAATTTTGCATGAAGATGTCAGTATTTGTTATGTTTATATTTGAAGTATCTGAAAAGTGATATATTTGTGCCAAAATATAATGTAGTCCACTGACTGGTTTCTTTTTTTTTTTCCTAGCACCTTATACAAATATTGAACATCTTTGAAGATTTGAAATGAGGATATCTT